CTTTAATTTCTTTTTTTAGTTTGTTTATTTATTTGTTTATTTATTTATTTATTTATTTATTTATTTATTTATTTATTTATTTATTTATGGTGTTTGCTATGTAGCCTGGGACAGGTGGCAAGCCTCCATCTGCTTTCCAAGTGCTATCACCTTAAATTTCTTAATGATGCAAACCCATTCCAGACTGAAAACATTTTGTAAATATAGCCAAAATTCAATGGTGTACCCCGCCCCCCAAAAGAGACTGGCTAACAGCAATCTAATTAATGGTGGGGTCCATGGGACACAGTTGTTCTGCAATCCTGGCAAGAGGATCGGGTATGAGGACTATCTGGGCTGCATAAAGACACTATGTTTCAAAAAGAAAAAAGAGGCTGGGAAGATAGCTCACTGGGTAAAGTGCTTCCCACATGCAAGCATGAGGACTGAGGCTCAGATCCGCAGTGCCCACATAAATGGTAGGTGGGCATGGTGGTCCACTTAATATCGCAATGCTGAGGAAGCCAAGTCAAGGGTTCCTTGGAGCAAGCTGACAAGCTAGACTAACCAAATCAGCAAGTTACAGGTTCAGGAAGAGACTGCACCTCAATATATATGGTGGAGAATGATCAAGGATGAGATCTGGTATCAACCTCTACACACATGCACACACAGTGTAAGCATAACTGCACATACATGCAAATGTACATGCACACATATACCCCTACCCATACAGGGGAAAGAAAGAGAAGTGCCAGGTGTAGTGGCTCATGTCTAAAATCTTAGCACTTGGTCGACAGACGAAGGCAGGAATATCAAGAGTTAAAGGCCAGCCTCAGCTATATAGCAAGTTTGAGTCACCCTAGGCTACATTAGACCCTGTCTCAGAAAAAAGAAAAGGAAATAAAGGCAGGCTGATGGAATTCACACTCAGTGGGGACATGAGATCAGAGGAAGAGGAGAAGCGAAGGGAATCTTGGGGCAGTACCAAGTGCTGACCATAGAGTTTAAATTGTCACAAAACAGGTGGGCATGGTGGCACAGGCCTGAAATGCCAGCTCTCAGGAGGTAGAGGCAGGAAGGTGACTCTAAGTTTAATGTCACATTGAGCTACATTGCAAGAACATTTCCCAAAATAATTTTTTTGATAAACTAATATTTTCTTAATCTTGATTTCTTTTAGTTTAGTCTGGATAATTAAAAAAGCAAATACATACCTGATTTTTTGCATGTAAGAATTATCTTCACAAGGATCCTAAAACCAAAAAAAGTCTTTTTAAAAACCACTTGAGAGATGCTCATAGTCCCCTGGAACTAGTCGACCTAGGAGGGCAAGGAGCAAAAAGTGTCCTTTATGTCCCTCTGACCAAATTATTATAGACCTCAAAGTATGTCTGTTAAACACCCAAGAAGGTTAGTTCCACCCGTCTGGTATTTTTAATTACTGTGTGTCATGTAGAAAAATCTTGGGCAAAGATCAGTTGTTCCTAGGTAAGCCTTACCTAGACATATATCTCTTGATCTGGTATGTATAATTTGTCAGTAGGTTGTAGGAGTAATATGGTTCTCTCTGGTTTTCAAAACTAGCTAGGCATTGTTTATCTCTCACATTATCTCGCCCCTCCATCATGGTTTTC